TGCACCATTTCATGCGATGATGCCTTGCAACCAAAGTTGCAGTTTACCATTGTTGCAGGGCCTGTCCGAAGTTCGTTTATTGACTTTACCGCGTGCAGGCTGCCTACGAAGGACCAAGTAAGAGATAAACAATGGACAACAATGCCCGCAGAAGAAGAAATGGAGGCATTGGCTGAGCTTGCATGTGGAGTTGCCCTGCCGCACTAACCGCAGGAATGTGCGTTGCAACGCGTGTAGGACGCCTCTTCTCAGAGCAACCCAAAACCTGTGCTCAGGGCGCATGGCGACTGGATGGGTGGATACTTGTTTTTCGTAGAATTCCTGTCATAAGTATTTTGATTCTGTTGCAGCTCACTGGGGTCTTCGAGTATGATCGACGACGCGTCTTGCACTTGGTGGCACCGCATGGTTCAGGGGGGCACACGCGAGCAAATAACCCACCCACCACAGTTGAAGGGTCTGACGCATAGCAGTAACTAGTACCGAAGGCACTTTGGAAAAATATGAACAGGTAAATCTTTAGATGCTCCGCAAGCATTTTTGCCAAAAGCTCAGCGCTTGTCTCCACTCGTGTAAGGGATAGTGATCTGGCTCTGCCCTCCCCTGGGGGAACAACCAACGGGTAAGCGCCTCAACGCATTTGAACGAAGGCAATGCCTGCTTTCCATTTAGTCGAAAATGTCTTTACTGGCAAAACAATTCATGGAGAATGCCTCCGCCTTTGCCGGCCGTCCGTATATAGCGGGAGCCGTCATACAGCGACAGAGGAGGACTTTCGTGCTACTCTTGAGTTGTATTTTTGACTTTAAAATGCACCTGAAGACCTACAGCTGCCCTCGGCATCATATTTATTAGGGTGTAGGGATTAAGGTTAAAACGAAGGCCCTTCCTCAAGACACAGGCATTCGGCAGGATGCGCAGCGGAGAGGGGACAGTGAGGTGAAAGGGTTGAACTCGCCGGGATGATGGCGTCCTTCCGCAGCACACAAAAACGCAATCTAAAAAAAATAATTGAGCTTCGGTGTGATGCAGAAGGCCGCTATCTCATTGCAATGTAAGGGGGCTAACACCCCAGTGCTGGTAAGTTTAGAAACACATTTTACGATAGAGATTTTTATAAGCTCCAGCAAACGGCTGCTGCAACTATGAAGGCCCAAAAATAGTGAAATCCCTTCTAGTGTCAATTCCGACCTGCACGAAAGGTGCAACATCTTGGAGGGAAAAACAACCGCTTGCATCGCCTTGGCTGCGACGGAATGAAGCGATTTTGGCAATGACTCAGATATACCCTATGGATATTGTCAACTGTCATCGCTCTAGAATTGCAAGGCGCAAAAGCAACTTGGGCATTGCTTGTGACATCAGGTAGCTAAGGGTTGAGGACTAGGGATTCCAGTTTTCAGTTTTGCTGTTGAGCGTAGTGTTCGTGCTCGGTGGCAAGTTGCAGCGCCGTCAGAACCCATAGCAAAACTAGCCTTTAGCGGCAGTACGACTAATAGCAGCCACTCACTCGGAGTAACAGGATCAGGGCTATTGAGCGTTACTGGAACGCAGCACATCTGCATCAAGTCCCCTCGCGTCCGTCACCAGGCAAGTAAACGTATGCTATCGGGTGACGATAGCAAACGCTTACGTGCCTGGTTCCCGTGTTTGCCCCTGGCCTGACAGGGGAGTGCAAACAGGCAGGCATTCTAGTTTAATGCATATTGCTATCTGCGACCAACAGCAAGCTAAACGAGTGTTTGGGGCTCACAAAGTGTGGTTTCCTAGCGGTTCCGTTCCGCTCCTGTATTTCAGGTTGCCCGGAGTAGGAAAGGGCAATCGAATCTCTGGTAGTGAATGCCTACAGAAGCAGAAAACAAATACGTCTCTCCTCTCAGTACACAGCGAGCAGTAGCGTACGGGGTGCGGGGTTCGAACCCGCGGCCTTCTGCGTGTAAAGCAGACGTGATAACCACTACACCAACCCCGCGGCGGTGGCATGTTTCTACTCCCGGCTGGGCAACAACGCCAGTACGTAGTCAGCTTAACGTACGTTTGGGGGACGACAGGAACTTATTTCAACGTTTTAGTATAAACAAAATTAATGAGAATTCACCAAGTTTGTGCGGGTGGATTTCGGGCCTACTGGGAGTCATTGACCGCCCTGGGATCCGTTCTCAGATGCAGGGTTAGGTGCTATACATTTACACTATTCTGAAAAAACACACAGTTGGAACTGCATCATCGTGCTTCGAACTGCACGCATGTGGGCAATCAGGAAACACAATCAGTGGAAGCAGCTGCAGATGTACAGACCTGCTGGACGACCTGCGCTGCCCGTGTTTGGGGCCTCCAAAGGACGGGAGCAGCTAGGGAAGGCAAGCAATATTCTTTCGAGGGTCTGTTTAGTTGCTTAAAACTTAAAAAGCCGAGGAAAACATCGAATTTCAGCGTTGGGCGTGTACATGCTGGGTATTTCATGGCTTATCCACTGGTGTAATCATTGCAGCCCGCAGCAGACTGCTGCGTGTTCACTGGAACAGCGGCTTTTGCGTGCACTGAAACCCAATATTTTAACTTGAAATTCGTTTTTTTAAACAAAGTTAAAATTTTTTCATTGTCTTGGCAAGGTCTCTGAGCTTGTTCCGGTCCCACACTACCACTCTGCCTCGTTGCATTCAGTCTCCCGCCGACACACTTTGTACTGGACAGTGCTCTCAGCTACCACTGCTTGTCTGTCCTTTGTACGCCTATTTAGGTGCACACTCGATAAATACACCCTACACTTAGCGCATATCAAAGAACTGCCTATTCCTTCTATAGGGGGAAGAGTAATGACAATTCTTCTTCCGATGAGGGCCCCTTGCGGGTCAACGCCCCGACAACAGTACCAGTCTCACACCAGCCCCAGACCCTACGTAGCTGCCGACCACTCTCAGCCTGATGGACTTATTTCCTGCCTGAAGTGACTTGATTTATTTCTAATAATAATTTATTTTTACTCTCTCTGCCGGGTAGACCTCTACAGGCCAAATTTGAGTGCTATTGTACTGCCTCTGCACTACACACTTGCCGCAACGGTCGCCGAATTCATTTCCTTTCTGGACTCGAGCGTCAAGGTCAACGTACCTCCGTGAAGACACAGCCAGACAAGTGTCACTGAAGAGTCACATCGCAAAGCCCGACCCTGCCTAGGCAAGTTGGGTTGGAACAGAAACCTTGATTGTCCTTACCATAGTTCTACACAGCCCCAGCTGCCGTCCCATTGGGCAGCACCCACACAACAGGTCAGAGAGAAGCTACTCAAGTTGAAACTTGGCTTTTTTGGGGGTCATTTGTCCTTCTTACCTTGGCTGACGGCTGCTCTTGTTGCATTCCAAGCTAGTGGGAGGTTCTGCAACTCCACGCGGCGCAGCGTTTGGAACGAACTCTTCTTATCACTTCGCCTTGGCGGCTTCCCCTGTTTGGCTCGCAAGTCTTAAATTTGTATCTGTCTAATAGGTGGAAATGGGTGCTGTTGCTGTTGTCCCCTTACGTGTTTCTGCCTTTGAATCTTCTGCGTGACGGTTTCTACCTGTCATGATCGGGCAGCAAGGGCAGCTTTAACACCCAGACCGTCCGTCCCGATCCAGTCCCCTAGGCCCCTTACCGGATCTCTAAAATGGCTGCAGGAGGCTTTTCCAGTTTGAAGATCTTGCCTTCGGCTCAAGATGAAACCGACAGGCAGTATTCCAGCAGTACCGTCGCTTCTGCCAGTGGCGGCGAAAGCCTCTCTACTCCGGACACCCTCTTGCTTCTCCCCACTCCCCAGCCACAGCAAGAAGTCAAATCAGAAGTTTCAGCGGCAACAACAGCGATTGAAACAGCCCCGCTTAGCTGGAAACCGCCTGCTGCAGTGCAGTGCAACCTGGGGAGCCCCCACGCGAGGCCCACCGGGACTCACGAGGAGGCTGAGGACTGCAGCAACAACCCGCAGACTTCGTATTCCCCCTACAGCCTGCGCCGTTCCAGTAGCAGGATTGGGCCCAGCGGCAGCAGTGCTACAGTTGGGAATCCAGCTGCATCTTCTCTCGTAAGCCTTCCCAGTGCCTCGCGGCCGCAGCCCTTGTCAGTTTGTTTACCTTCTAGCAGCAGCAACAGCAGCGGTAACGGCTGCTTGAACAGCCCTTCTCGTTTGCGCGTGCCCACAGCGGAGCACCAGCAGAAGCAGCAGCTACTACAACTACCGCAGGACCAGCCTGTAAGCTGCATTATCGTCGAGGGGTTTTCCGGCGAGGTGGCTTACATAGAATTCGTACCTCAGGGGGATCACACCGGACTGCAGCTGCTTGCGAGAGCACGGAGACGCGGCAAAAGTTCCGCTTTGCTGCGAGTTGCTGCTGCTGCATTCGAGCCCCCCACAGCATCAGAAGCAAAAGGACCGCATGAAGCAACAGAAACAGCTGCCACTGCTGCGAGGAAACCTCATGCTTCTACCATAGCTGTGCAGCAGCTAAAACCACTGCTACAGCACTCTCCCATTTTAGCTGATGCTAGGGAGCGCGGGGTTGGAGGTAGTGCAACAAGTCCGAGCAGCAGCAGCAGCAGCGCCAGTAGGGGCAGCCCGCGCTGCTGGGTCGTTGGGTATGAGGAGTTGATCGAAGGACTATTACCGGCCTGGAGATCTTTGAGCGATGTAGGACACTTCAATAGATGGCCTCTGTTTGTTTGTTTGCTCTCCTTGTGGCGTTCCGCTCTCCCTCTAGCTCTGTATGTGGCTCTGTATCTAGACAGTTTCTCTACTGGTGCTTCTCTGTACACCGGTCCTTGCTTCTCCCTGTATCCGTTTATATCTTTTGTCTCTGTTGTTAGCTCTGTGTTTTTTAACGTGCTTGTTTTGTCTCTCTGGATTTCTTCTTCTCTGAATGTTTGGTTCTTCTAGGGTTGCGCTCTTGGCTTGCTTCTCGACCCTTCGTGTTTCCGTCTTCCCTGGTTCTGCAGCGGCTGCCTCTGTATCATTTTTCACTATCTACTCCATACTTTGCTTCTTCAGGCATCCCGTACTTGTTTGATAAGTGCTGTAAATCTCTCCACTTGGCAGTCCTTCCTGCATCTTCTCGGCTTCTCTCAAAGCGCCGTTCTTCTGCCGCGTCTGCTGCAAGCCATAACAACCCAAGGAGGTATCCACATTTCTTAAGAAGCACTTTCTTCCCTTGAGGCTTTGCAACCTCGAAAACACCCCTGCATTTTGTCAACCCTAAAAGTAACTCCTCTGCAACTGCTGCTTCCGTGGAGGGCTGAGAGCTGCAGCCCCTAGCAATTTGCTCTATGCGACGCAGAAAAAGGGGACCGGTCGCTACGCCACAGATTAAAGAAAGCCCTGAGCACTTTGCAGGGCTTTCGAGTCCAGCTCGAAGATCAGCAGCAGCTGCTGGCAAAGACACGCTTTCTCCGCCGCAGCACCAGCAGCAGCAGCAGCAGCGAGCCTCAAGAGGCGCTACAAAAAATTATACAGTGCTATGTGGAGATATCAAGGCTGGCAGAAGAGACGCACGCTGCTGCTGAGGGGCTACTGCGCCACGTTAGGAACGGCAAGCAGCTTCAGCAGCAACTGCAGCAGCAGCAGCTCCACTTTGCAGCTGCTCTTGGCAGAGTTGACTCCTTCGCTCATTCTCTGCAGCAGCTGCAACAGCTTGCTAGGCAAGAGGAACATCAGCTGCAACAGCTGCAACAGCAGCAAAAACAACGCAACTGGAAACTCATGGACCAGTGGTCATCTGGGGAAATTGAGATGCAGCAACAGCTGTTGAAAACGGTCCTGCAAATTGCGGCAGCAGACGCAAAGCATCTGGATGAACTAAGAGACGCCTGGATACAGGTGAATGCCGGAACCCCATCCCTGCCGTTTCTCGTGCTGCAGTCGCACACTGTCATGTTGCTTGCTGATGTATTTCGTCACCTTGTTTCATTGATGCCGTCGCATACGCTAGTGCTGTTTTGGTTGGTGTTGCTGCTCCTGCTGCTGCAGCTTACTTGCTTGTGCGCGCTGCCACGGACACTTGCCGAAGAGGCGGCGGAAATAACGCAGGCACGATTCACCGAAGAGACAGAAGCAGACAGTCTGGTTGATACGCTGTCTGGAGATGGGTCACTTGCTAAAAGAATTGGGTTTACCAAAGAGAAGGCCCCAAGCCTGCTACTGCTTTGCCTTATGCTAGGTGGGCAGCGGCAGCAGCTGTAGTGGTCTAACCCAGAGCAAGAAAAAGCGGCATAAGCAAAAGGCAGCACGAAATACAGAGTCACGGGTAACAAGCAACACTCCGAAAAATCAATATGGTGTTCTGTTTTGTTTCCGCAGAAGCAGACGAGCTAGCAGGGTGGGTTCTTCAATGGATTGATGCATGCATGCCCATCGCAGCATCTCCTGCAGAAACGGGCTGTTCAAACGAAGGAAGAGGTCCTGATTGCAAAGACAGCTCAAGAAACGGCAGCTGGAATCCTGCTGCGGAAGCAGTAGCAGCGTTTAGTTCTGGCGTTGCAGCAGCGCAGAAGGGCATGCAGCCCGAAGCAGCTGTCTATACGTCAGAGATATATGCTCTCTTGAGGCGGCGTTTGCTGCGAATCCGCGCCTGCAGTCATCAGAGTAGCAGCCGCAGCAAGATACCGAAGCCTTGTGGCAGCCGGTCTGCTACAGCCTCTCCGCCCCACAGCATGCAGCAAGGATCGCACAGAAGCAGCTCTCCGAGCACCGAGGACGCCCTTCTTTTGGAACGTCAGCAACACGAACAATACGTAACGACTGCAGCATCCGCTCCCGCTGCTCCTGACGAGGCGCATTCGGCTGCTGCTTCAGGTCCAGGGGAAGGAAAAATTGGCAGGAACCCCAAGCCTGTCGCAACGAGCATCTGTCCCTCCCCAGCGCGCAGCCGCAGCTGCACTACGGATACGCACGCTGCAAAGCCCACCTCTCACTGTCACAAGCAGCAGAACCAGCAACACAATGGTGCAGCCGCTTCTGCTGCTCAGAGGTCTCCTAGTGCTTCTGCAGCTTACGCAGGTAGCATCTTGGACATGATTAAGCCCCTGCTTGTATCAGAAGAGGAAGCGCAGCTGGAAAGTCAAGTTAGGACGCATGACTTGTTGCTACTGCAGCGGCAGCAGCAGCACCTGCAACACGTGTGGCAACCGCAGCAGCCGCATCAGCAGCGGTTTAGCGAGCAGCTGGCTGACGTTCTGACCCCCTCACAGGTGTCTATCACGTCTCCGCAAAAGCACCAGCCGTACAACGGCGCAGACCAGGCACTTCAGCAGCAATTGCTACTCCTACAGGAGGAGGAACGGCTTCTGCAGCTGCAACAGCAGCAATCACAGCAGCAGGCGGATCGACAGAGTTTCGAACAACTGATGCGCTCGCAGATGCTTCCAGAGATGCCCCACATGCAACCTCCTAAAGGGCATCCGGTCTTGCAGGCGAACGACACAGAGACAGCGCTGCACCGGGAGATGATGTTCTTGCACCAGAAAGAGCAGCAACTGCAGCAGCGTAGACTTCAGCTGCTGGCTATGACCCAGGCAACAGCAGCTGCTACGGCCGCTGCGAAGCCGAGACGCAGCGGCCGACGCGTGGCTTCTCCACGAAGAAGGCAGTTGTCAATGAGACGGCGCCAGCAGCAGGCTGGTGTGTTTGCTGCAGTTCCCCCCAAAAGCAGCAGCAGCAGCAGGTCTCCCAGTTCTCGAGTGTCAACAGTGAAAGAAGAGAGGGAAGTGTCGCCCCAGCAGTGCAGGCAGCAGGCGAGTGAAACCAAAGCGAAACCTCCACCAGCAGAAAGAAGGAGCAGGAGTGTTGCGGCTAAGCCTGCAGCTGTGGGGCCGCGCTACAGCAGCCCCCAGCAGCACCAAGAGCAGGAACAGCGGGCCCTGAGAACTGTGTCAGCTGCCCATCTGACGAAGCAACAACAGGAGCATCTGCAGGAGCAACAACAGCACCTGCAGGAGCAACAGCAGCACATGCAGGAGCAGCACCTGCAGCTGCAGAAGGATGAGCAGCAGCAGGAATCCGAGAAATGTTCTGCTTTGGATCTGTGAGAGCCTTGCCCATTGCTGCTGCCACACATGTTGCAACAGCTGCTGCTGCCCGTGCCCCACTCTACGCACAGCTAGATTTGCGCTCTGTATTGTGACTATGCTGCTGCTGTTTATGGCTGCTCAGGACTCTTCAGCGGATCTTCAGAGTTCCTGCAACAGAAATCCGGGCGCAGAAGCAGGAAAGTGCAGCTGCAGCTGCTGCCGCTGCTGCTGCTGCCGCTGCTGCTGCTGTGCAAGCGGCACAGAGGCAGCAGCAGGGAATGGGCGTCTCTAGCGAAGAGCGCAAGGCATTGGCAGAGAAGCTAAGGAGGCTGGCACAGCAGCTGCAGGAAGATGAAGAGCTACAACAGGAGCAGCAAATACCCAGCAAGCAGCAGCGGCAGCAGCAGCAGCAGCAGGAGCATCACAACCAAAGACAGCAGCAGCACCAACAGCAGGTGTCGGAGAAACAAACGCTTCCGAACATGAGCGTGCACGCAGACAGCTCTGTCGCTGCGTCATTCCGAGCCAGGCGGACAAGCGGCAGCAGCAGCAGCTCACTTTGTACTGAACGGCTTGTTCCTTCACAGAAGCAGATGGAGAGGCACCGAGAAGGCAACAGCAACTGGGGCAGGGGCGGGGCTGCAACGCCCGGACGAAATCCAACGAGAGCAGGGAGGCCAGCAGAAGCAACAAATAAAGCTGCGCATGGCTCTGCCCTGTCTGCTGAGCAACTTCACCAGCCCTGCTCTCAACGCAGAGAATTGAAATCCCCTTACTGCGGGCATGGCGTCGCCGCAGCAGCAGAGCTAGCAGGAGCAGCAGCCGAGGAGTCCGCAGCAAGCAGAAGCGCCGTTCCTCCGACAGCAGAGAGAGACCAGCAAGCAAAAGTTCTTCAGGTGCTAGACATCCTCATGAGGCAGATTGAGGCGTCTCAAGGTATTGTTGCTGCAAGCGCGCCAACAGCAGCAGCAGCAGCAGTGGCAGCAGCAGCAGCAGCAGCAACGCAGAAAGGTTCTTCGTCGTTCTTTCCGGATGACCTTTCAGAGGAACCTGAGAAAGTGGGCCGTTGGGCGGCGCAAGGGAACCCAGCAACACAAGCAGTGTCAGCGCTTGCAGCCCCAGGGGGAGCAGTAGCGTTACCATCTAAAGTAGCAGCAAGACGTATTCACGAGAAAACCCCCAGTGTTGCGGTGGGCGTAAGGCGGCAAGGACAGCAGCAGGGTCTGACAGTTTCGGGTGTATCCGAGGGAGCAGAAGGCGCAGCGGAAGCATCACCAGAACACGAGCAGCAGACTTTTCCTACTTCCACATCATCGCTCGCAGAAAGCAGTAGCTATTGCAGCGGAGAATCCACCCCTAGGCATAATGAGCCCTTAGTGGCTTCCGGATCGTCAGTAGCAGCCGCAACCCGTCCAGTTTCCTTTAAACGAGAGCGGTCTGCAGGGACACCCAGGAGGCGGCAGCATGACCCGTATTCAGAAGCCGTGTTGCAGCTGCTGCACGACGAGAAACAGCACGAGAAGCAGCAGCAGCAGCAAAAGGCAGTCCGAAAAAACCATCTTGCCTCCGCCAACAAATTCCAGCAGCAGCAACCGCAACAAAAAGGGCCGATTGCTACTTCCGCTTCCCCACAGCTTCCCTCCTTATTCAAGAAGAAGGATCATTCTTTGCTGCAGCAGCACGTAGGTCCTGCACGGGCAGAGTCCCCAGAGCAGCACTCAGCAGCAAAACCGCCAACACCAAACGGCACTGGAGCAGCATCCTTGGCAGACAAAAGAGGAGCTGCAACACAACCACAAGCAGCAGTAGCAGCGGCTGGGGGAGCCACAGCTGCGCTCTCTGTTGTGGGAAAAGCAGCATCTGCAGAACTCATCACTTCAATAAATTCACAAGGGCAACAGCAACAACGCCAGGAGCAGCACCCCTTTTGCGAAGCGCCAGCAAACATTTCTGTAGGAAGTCCCTCGCCTACATCCTCGGTCGGAGCAACAGCTATCGCTTCGGCATCAGTCACTCCAGCTAAAGCTGCTGTTGCACCAGCCTCAGAGTCTGATATAGCAGCAACTCCAAAGGCAGGTGTAGCTGCAGAAGCTGCAGAAGCAAAGACAGAAGCACCACCGCCAGGAAAAGCAACTGGCGAGAACAAGTCAGGTAAACAGCAGCAACAGCCTCAGGGAAAAGCAGTGCTTGCTGGGAAGACAGCACGGACCACCGACAGCAAGCGCCACACGCAACGCAACGCCATCAGCAGCAGCAACAGCAGCAGCAACAACAATAGCACTAACAACGGCAACAACAGCAACAGCAATACCAGCAGCAACAGCTACAGCAACGGCAGCAGCAGCAACAGCAGATCCGCCTGTTCCAAAACACTGTTAGCGAAGCGATGCGCGGAGCAGCCAGATGAGGCGGCAACTCAAACTGAGCAGTCGGTGCTTCAAAGGCGTGTACCTCAGCAGCAGTATTCAAGGCCGCAAGAGCAGCAGAAGAGAGCAGCAGCGAAACCAACGGCAGCAGCAGCGGGCAAGCCAAGCGTAAGCACTAATGCAGTCGCTTTTGCCCCTAGCTCCACGGGGCCCCAGCAACAGCAACGGCGAGAGCGGCACCTGCTGCTGCTGCAGCAGCAGCGGCAACGCTTGAGGCAGCAGCAGCAACTACAGCAGCAGCAGCAGCTAACTCCCCTGGATGAGCTGAAGCTCCGGAGAAACAAAGTCAAGGAAATGGCTCTGCAGCAAAGGCTAAAGGCTAGTGGATTGGCGTGAGCACTTTAAGGAATATATTCAAGCATGCATACTTAGAGGAAGAGAGACGGAGGCACAGAGAAGCACATGGCTACAAAACACCAGATTGAATTGCCTGCGCTACACTACATCTACGTGAATTGCTGGCGTGCTGCTCTCACCTTTGCGTCTGCCAATGCAGGAAGCGCCTGCAACATGAAGAGGAAGTTCCAGCAGATTCGCCCACTAAGGAATCTCCTGCGCCTCCGCGACCCTCTATAAAGGTGAGGGCATTTTCGTCCATCCTACCCCACAACACTGCAACTTTATGTCCCAAAGCCCGGCTGCATTGCATGCTAATCACACTTTCAGCATGCTCTTTGTTTCTGACAACGCAAGCAGAAAACGCCTGGGCGGTTCCTCTGGTAAAATGATCAGGGGGACGGAGATGCCGGCGCAAACACAAAAGCATGATCAGCAGGCACCAACCATCTCAAAAGTACACCTGGAACATGATGCGGCTTGGCTTTTCCTAATATTTATGTTCAGAGGAACGTAGCAGCATCAATAGCAACTGTGCGCCAAGCAGCCACTGCTGCTGCACCAGAAGCAGCCTCATCGACGGACAGATCGTTCAGAGAGCAGCAACAAATGCACCTCATGAGAGCAGAATCAACAGATGCAGCCGTTACTGCTGCTGTCCAAAAGGCAAAGAGGCGCCTTAGAAAAGAGAGAAGACATTTTCTACTGCAGCAAAAAATGTTACAGCACCCTCACTTGGCCACCCGGGATGTATGCAGCAGCTGCATCGCACAAGCCACTGTTCGTGGGGTTAATACTGCTCACGCTAAATCTGCTACAACAGCATCCTGCGGTGGTGCACCAGGAAGAACTCAGCTCATAGCACACGCAAGAGTGTTTGCTGCTGTTGCTGCCCCTGTGTTGCTTCTGTGTCCATCAGGAGTTGCTGCGAAGGAGAGACGCGCGCTTGATGGCTTTCGTGCGGCAGCAGCTGATGCTGCCGGAAGATCCAGCTACAGAAGAACTTGCTGTTTTTAGGTCGCCTAACGTGGTGTTGCTATCGAAAAAACAGCGCGATTCTCTCCTCCAGAGCAACAACAAAGCAAACAACAGCAAGAGTCCGCAGCAGGATCCGGAGCAGAACCCAGGGCAACAGCGGCAAGGGCAAGGAGTATTGTGTGCGGGAAAGTCGTCTCGCGGTTGTGGTGAGGTGGCTAACCTCTCCTTGACGCTACTTCAAGAAGAGGCACAACAGCAAGAGAAGCACGCCAGCAAGGGAACGCCTCTGCTGCTCTCGGCTCGTAGTCCAGGAGCAGCAGCTGCTGCTGCAGCTGCGGCGGTGTTGATGCTGCCAGCCCATCCAGTCTTCCCGTGCAGCTCCAGCAGCACTACGCCTCCCCCGTCAGAGCACCATCAACACCTGGTGAATCAGCAGCGGGAAAAGTGCTGGTCTGATGCAGCCTTTGGTGCTGCCGCAACAGCACCAGCGGCTGCTTCTGCGGCGGCAGCAGCAGAAAATCGGCTATCTTCAAAACAAGTTATCAGCGCAGTCGCAACTCCTCGAAGCTGCGTTGAAACGTTTCCCCTAACTCCTATGGCCGTTGGTTCAGGACCATCCGGGCAAGCTGCCGCTGCTTCTACACCTGCTGCTACTGCTGCTCCCCACATAGGACAGCGCCTGGAGGCAGTCAAGCAGTGCGCCAACCGCGTCCGTGAAGCCCTTCGCCTTGAAAGCAAAATATCAGCACTGCTTACTCACACAGAACGCAGCAGCAGGCGCAGCAGCTGCAGCAGCCGCAGCAGCAGCACTGACAAGCTGCTGGATGGGCTGAAGGAAACGTTTGCAACTCCGCGACCAGCGGCCCCTAGGAACGAGAGCGTGGAGTTACCTCCTCAATTGCAGCCCGGCAATAAAAGCGGCCACAAGAATAGCCTAAAAGTCATTACTCCGCGGAAGGTGTCCACTGGTAGTGGCGAATGGGTGACTTCTGCCACACAGGAGCACCTCCACCACATTCAGGAACCGCTGCAAGAGCAACGACAGCAACAGCAAGCTCTGCCGCGCTATGAGGATAACGACTGCAGTTCCTCGAGCAGAGAATCGTTTGTCCCCAGTGGACAAGGAACCCCTGGTCTCGTGACTCGGTCCCTGCAGTGTACGCCGAGAGCATCAACTGACCGCAGCAGGAATTCTAGAGGAGCCCAGCTGATCAGCTCTGGAGCAAGTGGTCCCGTTGTCGTACTCAATACAGCGACAGCATCGAATGCAGCAGCAAGTGCTGAAGCAGAAAAAGCAGCAGAAGAAACGGTTTCAACTAAGCAACAGGACAGAGTCGTTGTGCGTCTTTCTCTTGGTGGCTTGGCGTGTTCGTCCGTTTCGAAAAGTCCACGTGCTGCCGCCGCCCAAGCACATGATACATTTAAGCAGGAAGAGCTGCACAAGAGACATCTGGAAAAGGACCCACCACCGCAGCAGCAAATGGAATCCGCGAGAAGGAATTCATTTGTGCATTCTCTCAAGGCTAGAGCAGATGCTTATCGCGACCAACAGCAACAGCAACAGCAACAGCAAGACGGAATCCCCATCACCCCCAAGAGCAGCATATTCAGGACAGCAATTTCACAAGCCTCTAGCAGCTCAAGTTGCAGCTCGCTAGTGAGCAGCACTAGCAGCAGCGGCAGCGCAGCAACAGGTGCGGCGCATTGGCCCCAGAAGGTGTTAGCGAAGTTGCCCCCGGAAGTCGACCGTTCAGCGGGTGGGACTGGCTGCGCTGAACGACGACTGGAGGCTCCGAGGGAGGCTTCTGCAAGAGGTGCAACCCGCCTAAATCATGACGATGAGGGGGATGATAGAGAAATGGAGCTGTTGCTATCGGAACAGGCTCAGTGCTCTTTTAACGATTGGGTGAGGTCCCCTATGCAGTGAGCAACTAAAAGGTAGCAGTAGCAACTGCACCGCAAGCAGCAACCATACAGCGGCAAATTTTCCTCAAGCCTCTGCCGGTGGTGGACGGAGTGCTTGCCTCTGTTCCCGACGTGGCACTATGTGGAGACCCACGTCAGCACAGCCCTCTTGCTATAAAAATAATCAAGCAGTTCGGCTTGTGCCTTCGTTCCTTTGTAACCCGACTGTTCTAATTTGCGCCGTATGTAGACTAAAGTATTTTGCGCTACATAGGATCCTCCGTCTTCTGAGATATGTGTAACAGTGCAACACGGGGACTGTGTGCAAGACTGAACTCAAGTGCTCAAATCAAATGAGCAGAAGAGAAAGCGAGCACACAATTGAACTCATCAAAATGCAGCATGAGACAAATATGTTGGCCAAGAACGAATCGGCTACGATGAAAAGCTGATGTATAAGTCGAAGACGTATACACGAACAGACGGGTGGGCGCAAGCCAAGCAAGTGGACGTATGCGGTAAAGTTGATTATATGTAACTAGCAGATATTTTAGTGAAATTGGAACGTGTTCGTTTCTCTAGTGTGTCTCGCAGCTAAGGAGAAGACAGCTTTGTGCGGTGTAGCGGCCAAACTGTCAAGCCACAAACCCCTCTACCGCCACTGCTACACTCCTTATAACCTTGGTGGTGGTATACCAGAAATAGGACCCATGAGCAGGGTCCCTACTGGGATGCAATTCAGATCACCTGGCATGCCCACATAAGCACTACGCCAGGAGTACGGTCTGCAATAAGCAAAATCGTGAAGTTATCCCAATGCTGTTTTTCATTGGGTATACAAACTCCTTTGCGGAAACCGCAGTGCGTTGTTCCTTCGCTGCCTTCAAGACAGCCTCTAACGACTTATGTTGGATAAACATCCCGTGCCTTCTGAAAGAGTGATTTGAGTTGACGAAAACCCTCGACAACGGCTGGAGGATATTACCTTACAGAAAGAAATAGCGACGGTAGAACCTAGCAAGCTAACATAACAGGCATCAACGAAATGCTCAATAACATTGGAGACAATATCGCTGCGTAAGAAACTTACTTCCTCCACCTGGAGCGTGAGTTACCCATTCAACTGCGCATCCACTTTCTGCATGCCTCCATTGCCTGGCAACTCCATTGCCTCCAATGACTGCTGTGTTAAAGCTCAAACCTCCGTGTTTTTCTTGACTTCTAGATCTGGAAGTTCGTAGGGCGTGTCAGGGTCGGCAAATAGCACTGGTAAGGATGACTCCTCATGTTGCTCGTGTGCGTCTCCTCTAAGCGGACAACGACAGTGCGGGGGAAGCTTTATAGCAGCAAGAAGTGCAGAACGTACCCCTGCCTCGAAGCTGATGAATAGCTAAACGGGATTTTGCAGCTGCGCATCCTTCCCGCGCGTTCTCACAAGTGCCAACGGGTCTTCGATTTGCTCCCTCCCCGTTGGCCTGCTACGGAGTTAATACGTCCAAAGGTGGACCTCCTTCAGGCTGCTGGGCATTCATTCGACCTTAAAGGAAGGATCTAATACAAAAGGAAGGATCTACTACAAAGCATACATTGTGATGGAGTCTTTGGAGGGCACTGGCAGACGGGGAAAACTGCAGGCACTTTGCAGCCAACGTCAGGAAAGGCCAAGAAAAGACGAGCCAAAGGTGGTGGATTAACGTAAAAGTCTTCCTTTTTGTTTTCATTAAAGAATTGTATGAAATAGCTTGATGGTTAGTGAGCTGGGTAATAGTGTTGTAGCTTCCCCGTCGACCGATTCGTCAACAATCTACCTCCGAAGCTTCACAGGTGCCTTGCATGGTGACATTTCGACCTGCGCTTTCCATTGACTCTACTCCCTAACTGAAATGTAGTCCTCTCGCCTACACAATTCTGAAAGTTGCTTTAGTTCTGCCGCTCCCGCGCCTGCTTGTTGATAGGAGTTGTCATTTGTTCGGCAGCTGCACATCTGTGAAGCTGCGTTCTCCTCGTGAAATTGCATTTGATCCCTCGATATCATGTGGGGCAAACTTTCGTGCAGCACAAACAACTATTCGCCGAGAGTGTACACCTAAAGCAAGTAATGGACTCGCTTTCCCACGCAACACGGTTCTTTTCAATTCGCATTCCAACTCGTCACAGGATCAAAAGGAGGAGACTTACTTCAGTAACTGCTGGGCGCGTGCTCGTCTGTTGGGCCCGTATAAAAAGGTAGTTTTATTTGCAAGATTGCCGTCAAGTGTGCTGCTGCAACAGCAATTGTCAGGAGCCCGTATACCACAAATGCACAACACTGTCCCGGTAGGAGTGCTGTCTCGTGGCATAGAACTTACAAAAAAAAACTAGCAGACTATAATAGGAATAATGCAACAATTACAAGATCATTGTAAGGGATTCCCTCCCTTAGCAGCACCAGCATTTGTTTCCTTTTAGCGTTTAACCGTTTCTTGAAGTTGTTAGCATTTGCTTCCTCTTGCTGCTTCGTAGCCGCCAGTACTGCTTTTGGCGTCCAGTTTTCCGCAATTCGGTATAGCCTTCGAACGTTTGCGTACTTTGTAGTATTATCAAATTCACTGAATATACGCGCAGCTGTTCTCGTCAGAGCTCGGGTTTGAAATTGCTCTCCAGTATATGGAATCTTGTAGTTGGCAGCAGGCGGAGTGGCGTCGTCTCCTTCGAAGGGTTGGAGGAAAGACTCAAAATAATATCGGGCCACCAAGTTGTAAACAGTATGTTTGTTCTCAATAGCCAACATAAATGTGAGCTTGTCAGTTAACATTTCATTGACCTTCTGCTTGCTCTCACCGCCAAACAGCCCCACGGCTTTCAAGAAGTGAGCTGCCGACAAGCCGTCTTCTACCTTTCCCTCGAGCCCTTCAACATCGGGATAACTAAGAGGCTCGTCGTGACCAGGAACAGGGATCGGCACGTCGAAGTCTTCTGTTATATAGAGGAACCACTCAAACTCCTCTAGCCGAAGCGTGACTGTGCGGCAAATGCACCGTAGCAGCTGCAGGTGCCTAGCGAAATCCCTCCGCGCCGCTACAGAAGAATCAGGTGGAACTTTGCATCTCCGCATCCTGGATACGTGGGCCCTGATAGTCGCCAATGGGTCTGGAGGAGGCAATTGACCGTCTGCAAGCGACGGTGTGAAGTGTTTTTGAAATGCTTGCCGCGCTGGCAATCCTGAGGATTCCCAGGCTTCTTCCATCGCCTCTGCTGCTGTGTTGAGACTGTTGAGGTATTTCTGCATGCTTACATCGTCCAGTGGTAGATGATGCGTCTTCAGGTTGGGTCCGAACCTCGGAGACACACTGTAGCAAACCTCCAGCAACAGTACGAAAAATAGGACAGCAGCGAGCAACGGTTTAGCCACTCCAAACCCTTTCCCACTGGACTTCCAGCAAGGGAAAACTCCACCTTTTGTGGCCACTTTCTCGCCGTTGCCTGCATCTTGTGGGCTAGGCTGTGCTGCGCTACCACCCTCCTCAAGAGGGTTCAACTCCAACAAAGAAGAATCAGCGTCTCCCTGCTGGTCCTCCATTGCATAATGCAAAAAGATATAAATGGATACAAAGCATATAGGGGCTTTTCGGTGGGCTCGATCTCAAAACTCTTGAGAAGCATCGCAGAACGCTCTCTTTCTGAAGGGACGTGGGAAAGAGGACGGCTCTAGTTGGCAGTGTTACGGTGACGTTCGAATAACAGTTCTATGTTGAAATGAATTATAAACAAAAGCTACGGTAAAAATGGTTTCTATGTTTGCACTGAATACGCAATGGCGCGCATCAGGGTAGAATGCCCGCCCTGAGGCAAGTTCGCGCACAAAGGAGACTGCGGGTCGGGCAACGACCGCCGTGTCTTGTTGCCCATTAGTTAGACTCAGGCAGTTCCAATTCAGATCTATTATTAAAAAGGGTATTTTCCGAACTTTTGGGGATCTGGTGGGACTACTTTTAATTCCGTCACCAGTTGTTGCGGTGCACGTGTTGTGCAACACTGTCATAAAGTACCTATTGTTCCCGATATCCCGCCATGGCACTTTAGCTCCAAAGGAAATACCCCAAACCCATATGCACCAATACTTTGGAACTGGGAACTAAAAGTATAAAAACCTGTTTTAAACTGCGAAGAATTTCGGCATTTCAGGTTTTCTTGTATATCAGGATCTGCTGGATCATTCGATATGCACATGCGCAGCACGAACAACTAATCGCCGAGGCGATGCACGTGAAACTCCTATTATGTTTGCTCTTCTACAAAACGAGGTTTTATCCTCATTCCGCACTCCGACCTTGTCATAGTGCAAAGAAAAGGAGACTGGTTTCAGTGGCTGTCGCGTGCATGCCCGTACGTTGGGCAAATATTCCACAAAAAGAGCTATGTGCAAGGTTGGTGTCAAACGTGCTAGTACAACAGCAACTTTCATGAGCCCATACACTACAAATGCGGAGCAGTGCCGCTGCCAAACTGGTATCAAGCGGCAGCGTGCGCACAAAAAAAAGCAAGCAGGCTATAGAAGGAATAACGCAATAATTACCAGGTCATCTGATGGTATGCCATCCTTTAGCAACGCCCGCATTTGTTCCCTTTTCATGTTCAACCGTTTTTCGAAATTGTCTGCATTTCCTTTCCGTTGGTTCTCCGTGGCTCTCACTACTCCTGTGGACGTCCAGTTCTCCGCAATTCGGTGAATCTTTCGCACGCTTTCGTAACTCGATGTGTTATCGGATTCACTGAATAAATGTGCAGCTGCTTTTATCAAAGCTCCAGTTTGAAATGACTCTCCATTATAAGGAATCTGGTACTTGGCAATTGGACGGGTGGGGTGGAGTGCATCGACGTCTCCAAAGGCTCGAAGGAAATACTGAAAGTAATATCGAACCACCAAGTTGTAGACGTCATGCTTATTCTCTACAGACAACAGAAATATAAGTCCTCTTGCTAATGTTCCATCCACTGGCTGCGTGCGTTCACCGCCAACCATCTCTAGGGAGGCCAAGAAGTCAACTGCCCGCATCCCAAAGCCCATGCTGTTATTGTCTTTTCCGTCAGAGTGACTATAAGGCTTTTCGTAACCAGGAACAGGGACAGGCACATCGAATTCCCTGTTCAATTTGGCGAGCCATTCCAATTCCTGCAGGCGAAGCGTGACTGCGCGGCAAATGCTACGTAGCAGCTGCAAGTGGTGCGCAAAGTCAATGCGAGCCTTCGGACAAGAGTCAGATGGAATTTTGCACTCTTGCATCTTGGCGATGTGGTCCCTGATAATTGCCAACGGATCTTCAGGGGGCTCTTGGTCGTCTTCAAGCGAAGGTGTGAAGTGTTTTATAAAAGCTTCCCGCACGGGCAATGCTGAGCTTTCCCATGTGTCATTCATCCCCTTCGCTGCTAAACTGAGATCATCCAAGTACTTATGCATGCAATTATCATCCAAAGATAGCCGTATCCTTTCACTGCGTAGGCCAAGTCTGTGGGATCTCCACCTGCTGGACACTAGGAGAAGGGCCCCCGACATCAGTAGCAATAAAAAAGCGGCAAGCAGTGGCTTAACCGCTCCAACCTGTTTTCCACTGGAGTTAAGGGAAAGAAAAACGCCGCCCTTCTTAGTAAGTTCGTCAACGTCGTCTGCATTGCCTGGCCCGGGCTGTGTTGCGTCAACGCCCCCCAGTTTCAGGTCCAAATCCTCCAACAACGAGGAACCTGAGTCTCCCCGCTGACCCTCCATTATCTAATGCAAAAATGGATTAACGGTCGCAAAGCATATGGTCGCCTTCGGGTGGGCTGGTGGGCAAAAGTCCAGAAAAACATAGCAGAACAGTCTCTACGAAACACACAGGAACCGAGGTGGCTCCTGTTGGTAGGGTGACGGTGGCATTCGAACAATGATTTTGTGCTGAAATGGACAAATAGGACAAAAACTAAGGGGAAAATAATTTCCGTGTAAGCATTGCACACACGCTGCGACACGTCAGGGGAGAATGCGTACCCTCGGTAATCTTGGCCCACAATAGAGACTGGTGATCGGGCGAAGGCCGCTGTGACTTGCAAGCAACTGTGTGACTGGAGGGGCTTTCAAGGCAAGCATGGTGTTTGAAAGTTAGTTCTTGAAGTTTTTCTGATCTAATGGCATTCGGTTGCCCTTGGAAGTCCTTCACGAGCTGCTACGGTGTGTCGTGCAGCCTTGTCTTACACATGCGATCTTTATGTCTGTTCACGGCTCCAGCTGTGCAACTCCGAAGGGAAAATTACGCACCCATGGGCTCCAACACGTTGCAAGTGGTAAATAAAAGCACGAAAAAGTGATTCCTGCACTCGTTGGACCATCCGGAAAATACTCTGGCGCGGTGCGCGTCACTTACGCGCCAAGAAGACATATGCAAAATGACTAGTGGGCTCGCTTCATTATAGACAACAGGTTTACTACTCGCAGTGGCAGTTGGGTGCATGTTGAAACATGGTCTGTACCATGGCGTGGCGTGGTCTGTCCGAAGTTGGTGCATGTTGGTTTACCTAACTGCACGCTGCCTACTTTCGGCCCAGTGAGTGTTCAACAACTGTTTCAGTGTTAGTGCATACAGAAAAGGGTGCATGACTGTTCTTGCATGTGGAGCTGCTTTGTAGCAATTGTTGCAACGATTTGTTCTGCAACCCGTGCATCTGGTGGTCTCCCTGCCACTGATAAGTTGCGGTCTGTCGGCAAAATGAAGTTAGGTGATACCCCAGTGAGCGTAGGTTAGAGGGGCTAAGCTCTCGGCTGTCCTTCTCGGCTGCTCTCACCAGCGCTGGGTTTTTCTTGGCATATCGGCTCAGGTGCACTTCCGTTGCGCAGGTTCCTAGTGGATACAGCGAAGGCACTTTCATTTCTTAAGCATCTTCGCTGATAATCACTGCTATGGGCGATGCAACCCTGCTGTGGTGGAATGTTCGTTTCTCGCAGTTGCACACACTGACTACGCATTTTTTCCCAACTGTAACGACAGGTCTTGATCTAACCCGGGGACTGCCCTGAACTGCAAGACATCCAAAAGGTGTAAGAGTTCCTTGACCTCCCTTACAGCCACGAGGCATCTTGGGCATAGCGTTACGTGCGGCGGGGGTCTGGGTCTGGTTCGAAGAGGAGCAGGCCATGAGCTGTAGAGCATCTTGCTGCAACAACTGCTGCAAGGGAGCTGCACGTGCAAATGCTGCCAAGCCACCTTTGCTACACGCACGAATACTGCAAGCACTTGTTGAACACGTACGTGGCCCTTCATACTCAGCGTACCCGCAAGTAGACATAAAGGGACCAGTTTCACACAGATCCTGCTGCACAAGGTATGCTGAGCACCGCAGCACATGCCCTACGGGGCTGGTGCTGCGTGCAGAGAAGAGCCGGCCCGGCACTCCTGCTGCAAGGCAACAACAGAAGCAAGTTTACCCTATTGCAATTTTAATGCATGCACTAACTGCGTGGACAGTTGTTAAGCTTGGCCCTCTGTAACCAACTTACACGAGGGCAGACTGCAGATTGCTAATGCCACTGTGCAAATCGACACAAAACTTATCCATGATGCTTAAGCTGGCCGGAACTACAAGCCCCCAGAATAACGAGATAATGACAATAACCAACTGAAATACAGTGGGATAATATAGTTGCTCCTATATTTTCTCATTTTATTTTTACATTGCAGTTGTAGGCGGCATAGAACTCGCCAGGGTCCTCATTTCGCAACACTGGTTTGTGTGTTATTTTGTAAGCTATGCCTTTATGTCGTTCACATATAGGCTAAATGACTCGTTCACAATTGGCTTTGGCGAAAAGTAGGAAATGGGCAGTTAATGAAAACAGCGCCTTGACGCTGCGGGGCAGCGGAAGTCGCGTGCCGGCCCTGAGCTATAGAGGGTTTAATGGAGGTGTCTTTGGTGGGAAAGTGGAGCTTTGAGGCAAGCATTAGAAAATTTTGTTGGAAGTGGCAGAACTGAGCTTAGTAATGAACAATTTTCGCCAGCTTCTGTGCATTCGTCAGCGCCAGCGTTGTGAACACCTCCCACCCACGCTTCTTACTGCGTGGTAGCCGATTCAACCCTACTTCGGTCCACACTGTAGATCTATCGCTATAGTCAGAAAATCTTCCTTTGATTAAACCGAATAACGGGCAGAACCATTAATAAACGCATTAGCGCCTCATATTCTTAAGAGGGAAGACCGAGAATAATGCGACTCCCCTCGTGACCCGTTAGCGGGTTGAGCACCCCGACCGCGCCCTTTTCGAGCGGAGAGTGCCACTCCTCTGTGGCGCTGCACTACTTTACGATTTATTCAACATGCTCAGCTTCCCCACGCTTATCCAGAATATGTTCCACTTCCTAACTGCTAGTGGGGTTTCCTTGGTCACCCATAATCGGTAGCCAGGCCATAGCCATTTTCTTGCTTATTCCGCATTGGAGATTGTTGGGTGGCTGAAACGTCCTTCTCCGCCATCCCGACTCCTGCTGCAACAAATTTGTTTGGGTTGACCATCTCATCCGGGGATTCTTGTGCCTCCGCAGCTATACCCTAATTGCTCAGTAATATTTCATTAGCACCATCTACGTACGTACGCGCTCCACTTCATGAGCCCTTAACCAATCGAGCCCCAGCAATAAATCATACGATACTGCCGCCACCAAGTCAATCATTCGGAACGTCGTCTGCCTCAATTTGTATCTAGTTCTATTACGCCGCTGGCCCCTCTACCACGGTAAACTCAAATTCTTCAATCAACACTCGTCTACGAATCAAAACGCTCCACGCACTACGAACTGGCAAATATGCGCGAAGTCCTAAACACAACAATGTGGAACAACACTGTGCCGCAATCCGTAAGCTTGATATTGCCGTCACTTGTATATGGCACCGCACTCCGTGCTTTGACGGAAGATGAGTCAGTCTCGAACATCGTGGCCCACTACTTCTGGATCAGCCTCTCTAGGAGTGGACTCGTCTGACACGTACGCAATAGCCTTCTCCTTCTCTGTGCTTAGTGGTACCGCCTCCAAGACTGACGGCGATTCTCTCTTGCAAGTTCGGGACATAGGAATCCCCAACAAATTTGTGCTCTTGCGAGACTGGTATCTACACGCTGCACCGCGCATTGGGCCCCCTAGCTCGTGGAGCGCAATATATGCTGGATGGCTGAGGTGGCTGGCCTTTGTTGGGTTGTCCTGACCTCGTGCGAGCCGTCCCTGAAATCCACCAATACTCTAGTTTGGAATCGTTCAGCGTACCCTGTACGATTTCCCGTTTGCAGAGCTTTAGTTAACTCTACAAGAAAGTAATGCTTCTTCAATTTCCTGCAGAGTCTGTGCGCTTCCGTTGCGTTACCGTTCCCGGTCCATCTGATCTATACTCGTGAACTGTAGGTCTATTTCATTAAGGAAGGTTGCCATGTTGTGTCAGCCTTACAGAGGCAACTGCCTCGGCAACACGATTTGGGTTTGCCTCTGTCGAATACAGGATACTCCCTGGAAGTAGACTTAGGCGCGTTAATCACTCGACGGTCGCACCTCCGTCATTATCATCCGGCATTGCCGTGCAGCATGCAGTGTTCCCTCTCTCCTTCGACCTGTCGATGGCCCGCACCTAGGATGTTCTCGTTGTGTAGTATGTGCATGAGTGCATCTGTTTTTAACCACTTGGTTCCGATTGCAAAACAACATATTAATGTCTTCAGTTTCGGGTTCTAATATCCCGGAGCAGCCGCCAAATGTAGTGAACAGCTCTCACCCGCGCCTGTTACTACGTGCTACCCTATGTTCACAAATTTCGGCGCATACTCTACTATCTATCGCTATCATCAGCAAATCTTCACTTTATTAAACTAAATAACAGGCAGAGCCATTAACGAACACATTAGCGTTTCATCATCTTAAGAGGGAAGACCAAGAACAATAGAACTCCCCCAGTCACCCCGTAGCGTGCCAGCGCGTGGGCGGCAGTGCCACACTCTGCCAGTCCCGGACCCTTGCTGAGCAGCCTTAACATCAAGCCTTCTTCTTCTATCCAATGTTACTTGTTTCATTTCTATGAAAATTTGTTTGTTTTACTCTTTCTGCTCGATTGGCTGCTAGAGGACCGGCCTGAGCACCATTGTTATCCCGGTGCACTACAGCCGGTGATCCACCTCATGTGGGCCTGCTACCCGCCTGACACACTGAGCAGTGTATATATATTCTCTCTGAATTCGGTATTTTGACCCTGTTTTACAAAACTTGTGCCTTTCGCAGAAGGGCCTGTTCTTGCGCGAGGAAGACATCCCTCCCCGGCCATCCCGGTGTTGCCCCACTCCATTGAAATGGATTGGCATGGAGAAACGGGAACAAATGGGGGACTCAATACTTTTGATTTAGGAGCGCGGACCATGACCGCTGGGTTTGCATCCGCAAATTACTCCGCAAAAGAACCTCGCCACTGGGCCCTGGACTTCAGCCAGGAAAGCCTGAGTGATAACCTTCTAGTGGAGCTGCCAGACGAGGACGACGGAAATGTCTCAATAGAGAAGAACTCGGGCGGTGTGAGTGAACCTACACCCGTTGTGCATGCCGGTGATCCTGTCAGAGGGAGGCAACTGCTGACCGTTGGATCTGTTGCGCTCGTTGTAACGTTGCTGGTGTCCCTGGTAGCTGCGGTGGCGGTGAAGCAAAAAATGCACATACCTAAGCTTCCTACGCCCGATATGCAGAAGCCTTCAGAGCAATCAGAGGTGGATATCTGCATAAAGCAGTTCGAAAACAGCGTGGGTGAGCTGAACGAAGCATGGCAGGCGGCTTCGCACACTGTTCGCAAGGCATTTGAACATCATTTCAGTCCAGTTGGAAAAGGATTGCGCTTAAAGGGATCAGATGCTTGGGAGGTACTAAAGGATCAGAGGAATATTTTCTTTAAAAGTCTGCCTGAAGACGACTGCAGCGAGGAACAAAGGCGAGCCTTCGTTAAACAGGCCAAACTCATCACGGCCATCTTTGATGCATCAAGCGAGCGACTTCGTGCACTCGGAAGATTGGAGAGAATTTCCACTAAACACGGCATTCCTATTCCCCTCATAGACATGCCTGCTGGAGAACACTGGTGTACTTATGGACATCCTTCTCAGGGAGAACAGCCTGTCACTTTTAAAGAGTTTCTGAGGCTGCTTCCGCAGGATGGACAGGGATATATACCTGAAGACAACGATGATGACGATGATGAGGTGTTTGTTTCGGTTGTATCTATGAAAACAGCGGCGAAACTGGCAGATGTCATTCGAATAGAAGATGCCCAAAGGGAAGACGACAACTACATTTACCATTTTTTCGATCGGTTTGCAAATACTTTTGGCCTAAGTTTGGTGAAAATGACGGAAAGCGATGCGAAGAAAGCCGCATCATTTGTAACGGTGGGAGGCGAACTGCCTTTTCCTAGCGGGGACTTCCTTCGTTTCCTGAGAACCAGATTCAAGTCGACCTCCCACGGCTACATGGACCCGCTCATTTTCAAATCTCTGGAGAATAACTGGAATGAACAAAGATTAAACGATCTCATTGAACAAATTGTTGACGATCAGAGACGGAGAAGCCAAGACCTGGGCCAGCAGAAATTGATGACATTGATGAGTGTAAGCGAGGATGAAGACATGAAAGAAAACAGCCTTTTCGTGCTTGCGCTCTTTCTTCTCTAGAGGACATATATCCATCTGAATTGCAAAAAGAAGAAAACAGACGGGGAGGTGCGCCACACGCACACTAAGGGATCTGCTTGTGCTGCTCAAGAAGACCTAGGGTTTCAATTGCTCCCGGATTGGATTGGTTTAACTGCTACATCTTGAGTTTCAACAA